TTCTAATGAATACTAAATGTCAGGTTCCATTGAGTTACAAAGAGTCCATTAAGGTTCTATTATAATCATAACATTGCCGGTATTTGGTTTTTCTCTCGCATTAGACCTTAGAAGCGCAGGTATATAAAGTTTAACCCACTTGATTCGCTGTTCGTATTTTCCTGCAGTGATTAAAAAGGACAAGGTAAATTTTAATAACAAGTGGCTATATTAGATAAATTAGTTATAATTTCCGTAATTTTTTCTACCATATTTAACCCCGAAATTTAAGTGAAGTAAACGATAATGCTTTAATTCTTGCCAATGTAGGTAGAACTTAGATCATGAGTAAATAATAATATCAAGAAAACTATTTCTGTACTGATTTAGGTTTTCGATGATATCAAATTACTTTTGATCGCTTCGTTGCTTTGCTTGGCAGTAGCCGTCAAAGCTGATGAAATCCCTGCCGAAGTTGAACAATTTACTGATGAGTTAAAAGAAGATATTCCTGATGAAGATGAATCTGCGTTAAAAGAAGCAGATGAAGAAGATGAAGAATCCGCCTTGCAAGATAGAGAAGATTCAGATGAAGATGCTATAGAGGAACAAGACAATGCTGAAGTTCAGGTATTACGTCTCCCTGGGGATTGTATCAATTAACGTTTTAAAGTTAACTTGTGGCAGTTATAAAAGGTCCAAACAATCTTAGTGTAGTATTTATCACCCTACAGTATCATGTTTACTGTAAGTAAGTGATGGCTTAATAAAAATAAATTTAGATTCAAGGGAAGTTGAATAGGTTTATGTGAGTGATAATCGAGCATTAATTGGAGTGTACTCTTTTTGTTAAAGAGGATCAGTGGAAATCGCAATTTTTCATCAGTACTTACGTTACTTTCTATCGCATTCAATAATATCAACTATGCTAATCGGCTACTACACTATTCTACACATCTAATCTATCTCCATACGCTCAACAACTCTGCTAGTAGATACTATTACAGTTAATGTTAATTCCTCTATTATACTATTAAAGTTTCAAATTACAAAAAAGTTTTTAACATGGTTTATTTATCGCATTTTAGAAGTCGTGGCGTCGTCGACGTCGGAATTTTGGAAAGAACGGCGACAAAGCATAAGTAATTAACTTTCAATGATCAGTAATTTACATTGCTTGTACTGAATTTTTAAAATATATGGCAATTGTAATTTTTGAATGCATAACACAATTTAACAAATTGTGCTATACGACAATAAATTGCCCTACAGTTGTAATTAACATGACATAGTAATTACAATCTGCATCTTTTTTACAAATTAGTCTTGTAGCCGTTTCGATAACCATTAGCTATTAAACGAAAATTATAAATTTACAAATTTAGAAATGGTGGCGTCGTCAAAGATGGTACTATGGCAGAAACGGCGATAATACTAAGGCCCAGGTAAAAGATTAGTTTCTGCTGGAATGAGTAACATTACTTTATTTTACAAGGGGTAAAATAGCTGTAAATCATTAGCAGTATATTTAAATTTTTGGTGAATGTTTAAATCGCGCGCCTTTTTATTAGATAACACGTATAAGACCGTACGATTATAAATATCAATTTTTATCATGTTAAATTACTAGATATTTAAATTTGTTCGATCGCGCACATTGTAATAAAATTGCCACAATAACCATATAAGATCGAGTTTACTTTTATTAAATAAACAATTATGAGATTGCAAGTAAAAATTATTGAAATAGATTTCTTATGACTGTATCTAATATATTGAATGCTTGAAAATAGAAATGGTGGCACCGTCGTCGCCGATATCGATATTATTATGGAAAAGATGGTGATAAAACACAGGTAATATTAGCTAAAATTATAATCTTGCCTTTATGTAAAAGGAAAACTTAGATTCTGGTAAAGAGTCTTAAAATTTAGTTTATTGGTTTATAGTATAAATCTAAACATCAGTCTATCTTAACGTTAGACTTCAATTTATATTTTTACCTCAGTATATTGCACTTTATTTACTAGAGTTCCGTAAATTCTTAGATTTATAACATTAAAGTAAGCGATGTACTCTAATGTTAATTAAAATTGATATATTTCAGAAATGATGGCGTCGCCGTCGAAGACGTTGGTACTATGGCAAGAATGCCGAAACTAGATTATGGAAGAGCATGTGCTGTATTTACTATACCTACAATAGATTTTAGTATCAAAGTTACTTTCTCACTTGTTTATGATAGCAGTCATAGAGTACTTATGTCCTCAATCACAAGTTGTTCGTCTATAGAAAATCAGAAGATTAAATATTAGCAAATTGTTTATCCTACTAAATTCGCGAAATTTAATATTCTCTTTATCGCTAATTGTATTTATTCATAAGGATACCTCTTGAGTACAAAAAAGCGTTCTGTCGAATATGGTATAAAATATTTGCGGTATTTTATATTCTGTCAGAATGACTGCCCTGTTAAAGTCTTAAACGAATAAGGAATTAATTCGACGTTAGAGTCATTCAGTTAGTAATTTAGGTATTAGATTTAACGTGATTTATTTAGCAATAGCATATTCTTCAAGGCATTGTATCTGTCTGTGATTTACATGAATATGGTATCCTTACTGCCGAATAAAGATTGCGATTTTCGAAATTGAAAACGTCTATGATATTTTTGAAGAATAAACGTGATCACATCGTTAATGTCAATAAAGCGCATTGAGAAGAGTTAGTAAAACAAAATTTTGTGATATGGCACATAGTTTACATTCAGTAGAAAAAGAACAATAAATGTAAAATAAAACCTTCATGATGCTATTCAGTAGTAGACTTTTATCGATTTCAAGTCGTTTTAAAACAATTAATAACCATTTCCGTGCTTTCATAACATGAATCAATGGAAGAGCTATGGATAACATCGTAGGCTTATTTGCTTTTTGAAATTTACCAGTAATTACTACGACTATACACTTCTTATCCTCCTACCTTTGTGTAGAATACATACGCGTTAATTTGAACGGGAACTTTGCTATTATCAATAATTATTGATATTTTTATGCATAATATTGTTATGAGACATGTTGGGGCATGAAAGTCTAATCGGTTGTAGGTACTCCGACAATTATCACTGATAGCTCTTTACTATAACGTAACGTATGAACCTGGATGCAATATTAAAAGGTATAATCGTTTTACTAAATCATAACAAACATGCATTTGAGTTACTTAAGAATTGACCATTAGGTTTTTCTTGCATTTGTAATATTTGCCGGCGAATGTTGTTTAGCTTAAAAAAATAATAATCTTATGCTGCTTCCGTTTCGTTACAAGCGATATATTTACACCATGGAATACTAAAGACTATTTCTATATCAAAGTATACATACTAAAATCGAATGATAATCTTTCAATTAAGGATTTGCTATATTGTTTCGGTAGCTAAAGAATGCCTAGTTTGAAGCTAAGAATGAAGGTATCATTAACAGTACTGTAGTGCTGAATTAAATTTCATTCTGCAGAATAATGGTATTACCAAAGTTTCATTGCACAAAACTAGAATTACTCAAGCTCGTTAATATCTTATGAGACATCTGTTGAAATAACTTGTTTACTCTCGATGCAAATAATGGGTCTTTATATCCTATATCGTAATTCAGAAAATTGCTTGATTTTCCCGTTTTCTTTATTATTTCCTATCTATAAATGACTTAATTAAAGGCTATAGAGTAGGTATACCTTGTTACTGTTAGTATTACATGAGAATTAATTAGTACACTAGTAAGTAAGGTAGTAATGTNTAAGCTATCATTTAGATTAACACCTTATTATTAAGCATTTTTGTTGCTCTCATAAACGGCGGAAGTTGCAATAGAAAAGTTAACCCTATTCGAAGGATATTGTATATTACTACTGTAGTAAAGCACTATGGTATGTCGCAATTACGGTTTTGTGCTCTTGGCATGTGGGACAAGTACCTACAAATTAGCAATATCATAATACATTTAACTAAAGCTCCGAACTGCTCGCTACACGTTGTGCTCTTATATCTGATCTAGCAGTCGTACGACTATAGACTTTACAGTAAAAATCCGATGATTGGTTACAAATAAGCTTTATCACATTTCTTGGCACAGTACTCTCACTATACCGAATATAATTACAGTTGAAACTAAGCTATGATGGATATCGTACCCATTAGTAATCTCCATCCTTAATCTAGAATTATAGCAGGTATTTTTTCTGAACTATCGTCTTCCATATCAATTAATCAGCCCATTAAGTTTAAGCAATCGTTCTTACGTATTTCGGTAGCAAATAGTAAGACTTACCTAGTTCAAAATAGATAAATTAAGGTTTCTTTATACTATCATCAAATTAGCAGAATTGCAGGCTTCAGCAAAGTAGGTCTGGCTTTTCTCCACTTAAGGCCATCTCAGACAGCCAAGTATAAGATTATGTACAATGTCTTCCATATTAGAGTTAACGTATCATTATCTGATTCATCTTAACTAGGTATTAAATCCATCTTTTACAGTCTCGAGTTAGTATGTCTACTATAGAATATCTACATTCGGGAATCTATCGCTAAATTTAGGAATTACCATCGTAACAGAATAATAGTTATCCACTTATGGTTAAAGCTATACAACGTAAATATTGAAATGACCGATCTTGGTCATACTGTATTCATTTACACTATATTTAGTAATAGAATTACATAAGAACCTAGATAACACTCGACATCCCCTTATATAGTCTAAATCCACATATTTACGTATAGCAACTACTCACGGTAATTGAATACCATGACACAAATGCATTAATTTTAATTTGAGTTAGTTAATGAATAACATATATAAGAATTATTGACTATTGTATCATGAAATAAATGAATTGAATTTTAAGTTATTGATGTGATGCTATCGGATTTAACAATGCGTAACGTATTGATAACTGTATGCATCTAATGCATTAATATTAGTTTTACATAGATAATGACCTAAAATAATTTAGCTCAATGCAAAATGACAGCGATAATTGCTACGTATATGTGCTCGGTCACACAAATGGTACGAACATTAGAGTAGTTAAGAATGTAGTTTATTGGAAAGAATAACTTGCTCGAGAACTGGTGAATAGTAGAATACAGCTTTAGAAAGAATAATTTGCTCGTATAGAATCCGTAGATCATACACAACTCCAGGAAAGAACAGCGTGTTATGTAAAATATTTTTATAAATTACAGTTAGAACATGTTTATAACGTATGATAACAACATGGCTAAGCAATATTGGTAATATTGTTCATTTATTAACTAAGAACTATACTGAACTTTAATCTGAAATGAGTCATATGCCATAATATTGTAAATTAAAAAGTACACGTACGGTACGTATAGGTTTTATACGCTACGTGAAGTTTGACTAGCGTGGGCTATACTACTCTGTTAGAAGTTGATAACATGTCTTCAACTGCAGACTATAATCTCAAGTACGAAAAAGACAATCTCTTTGTGTTAACTTAACTACTTATATCCTTAGCCTTTTTACAACCCGAAGATCATAAATAGAAATTACTGAACAACATTTATCAACTTCTAGACTCAATATAAGAACGAAATTCTACGATTACTGTAGCTTCTTACGAAATTTAAACTGGAGCATCCTTAGTATTAATAACATGACCATACTTGTACTTGTTATTACTAGCTCCATAATGTTAATAACAGCATTACAACTGGTGTTTACTCCTAAACTTAATTTGAGTTAGAATTTAAAGCTATTAGCTTTTAATGATATTACTAGAGATACTGTAGGTCTCATCTATATAGCGATAATTTTATCCTCAGTACAGTCTTACAATTAAGTTTAGAGGATGTTAAAGGGCGGTAACATACCATAATTTATTGAATACTATGGAGGACTTGATCAAGTATGCTAATGAGAATCACTGAATATAACATTGTAATATCATTAAACCAGTTATTCAATACTCATAGCTTCAGCCAAGTTCTAAGCTAGGTTCATGTACAACCCAGATGCATTGGTGCTATGGTTAACCTTTTGTATAGGCAATAGATACAAATAAATAATGATTTAGCGCTAGGGCTTATTTACGTAGAGATCGGCTGAGCTAATTAACTCAAGGAATGACTTTTATCATTTTATATTGTATCAATTATGATCATCCTCTTGTGATGGCAAATAAAGTTTTGTCAATTAAGACTGGACTATTTACTAGCGCTTACGCTGGCTCTGTCTTATTTGCGTTCAAATTTATATCTGAAGATTTTACGAGATAAGCCTATCGCTTTGTGCTGGTGAAATTAACATCAAGTAGAATATTTACTGTTAAAATAATAGAAATGAATTGTTTCTGAAGTTGCGATATTACAGTCAGCGTAATTAGAAACGAAGTGATATAGTGACAAGCTTAAAGTTATTTACATAGCTGATAATTTTTTCGTGATTATCGAGCCACTTTTGATTGCTGTTACATATTTACTGGCTATTATTGCCAAAGCCGACGTAGAAATACCATCTGAAATTGAAGACATTGGCGAGGAACTAAAGAAAAATTTTCCAGAAGAAGCTGAAGAGCTACCTATAGGAGATCGCGACGTACTAAGCGTACTAGATGAAGAAACAGAAATACTGGTAGAGCACAAAAAAAGGTATGCATAATGAGCTGTAGTACTTTGAACTGTAGTAATTCTACAAACCGTGGATGACTTAGTCATATTTCCTTCCCACTTCAATGGAAGTTTCTATTTCTATTTATATACTACTTAGAAACCTGCACCTATGCAATATTTACCCATGTAGTTTAAATTGAGTAAGCTATAGAACCAATCATATCATTGCTCACTAGATTAATATTGGAAAGTGGAATTTAGAGCAAAACTTTTGATATTTTAATTTGTGAATGAATGTAGTGATTTCAGCTAATTACAGTAGCTTTGTGTAGGAAATACAATGATAGTATGTAGTGTAGAACTGTATGTCTTAATAAAGTAAGTGTTGATAAGGCTAGTATGATGAAACGGCAAATATTTAGTATGTGCTACTGTTACGAATTGCCTTTTCGAACTGGTCTTAAACGCTGTTGTCACGACTACTCGTGTCCCCAACTGACTTAGGCGACTTATTGTAGCTGAACTAACTCTCGACTACACAGATAAGCTGCCAACAGGTAATAGGTTTAAGGACTTTACTTTATTGAGATAAATCCTAGTAAAAGAACCTATTATCAATAAACAAGTATTCATTAACGCTTATTAGACTACTGGAACAAATAACAATTTATATTATTAGATATTTTAATTAACTAGGCCTTTATTATTTCGGAGCTTGGCTCCGTAGCATCTATATAAGGCCGTAGCTGATAGCCATATTAAGTAATGTTATTAAGCAAAGTACTAATGTGATTGATGACTCTTATGTAGAGGCGCAATTGATGATAATTTGTATAAGTTGTATAGAATTGTTATCGTGGAGGCTAAGTCGATTATTTGGTTTATCTTAGCCATTTTCGACTGTTATTACGAGGGGAGAAATTGGAATTCTTCTCCGACAAACGACACAAGGACCTTAATAAAGTTAACTGTTATAAGTCAATTATACGGTGTTGACTATTTTGTATCACATCAGGGATTTGCTCGATTTTAACAGCTCAGAATTTTGAGTTGGTAGATTACGAACCTAGGGCTAATAACCCGTACACTACAATGAATTATCCCAGTATCCTTTAATTCCCTAATGACTAAAAAATAAAAGATTTTCAAGAAAGTAACTGTTACGTCTACACTCCGGAGTATTCCATACATTCATAAAAATTTTTCGTATGGCGATAGGATGAGCTTCATTTAATGTGACTTATTCGTCAAGAGTGAATGAAAGAGTTAACGTATACCGAAGGACATAATTTTTCGTTACTAGAATTACTACGCAATATATGCTGCAACTTAATTTCTTTGTATGCTATTACTTTAAAGAAATACTATACAAAGTTCAAGTAAGGTTCAAGCAAGGTTTAAGTAATAATGAATTGTATCTAGGCGTTATTTAGTTTCAAAAAATTCAACGTTATTCCTGCGGCGATTATGTATATTGTACAATAGCGTCGGATATGGGGTGATATTTTTTATTGTAATACACGTAGATCCTAAATTATTTAATGATGATTCAGGACTTGAAATCACAAAAGAGTTCATTGAGCTTACCGTTAACAACTGTCAACGTTCATCTGACAGCACTAAGAAAATAGATTTTTTCACATTTAGTAATAGATATTATACATTTTGTGTAATAAGCTTAGCTACCCCAGGTTTTGTAGCTAAAATACCGTAATTGTATCGAATAGTACGAAGGATCTGGTTAGGTATACAAAAGAAAATCACTGATTGTAACATCATAATATCATAAATTCAATTATTCATCAATAGTAATAGCTTTAGGCAAGTTCTAAGGTAGGTTTACATATAACCCCAACACATTATTGCTATTTTTAACCTATTATCTAAGCTGTAGATACTAATAAACATTAGCATGACATTAGACTTATTTACACAGAGGTCGGCTTAGCTAATTAACTAAAATACGGTAAATATATTTATTGTATACTGTATCTATTGCGACCAACCTCTTTTGAAAGCGAATAAAGTCTTGTCAGTCAAGACTGGCCTATTTACTAGTATTTAACGCCGACCCTGTCTTGGTTAGATTCAGATTCAGATCTGAAATTTTACAAGATAAAGCTAGCACTTTGTACCGACCAAATTAACATTGAGTAAAATTCTAACTTATAAAATGCTAGAAATAAATTGCTTCTGAAGTTTCGATATTGCAGTCAGTGTAATTAGCAGCGAAGTGATATAGTGACAAACTTAAATTTAATTACATGACTGATAATTTTTTCATTGCTTGTTGATTTACCGTTAGCTTTGCCATAATGAACATCAAGTTACTTTTGATCGCTTCTGTGTTTTTACTGGTTACTATTACCAAAGCCGATGAAGAAATACCGTCGGATATTGAAGAGATTACCGAGGAACTAAAGGACAATCTACCAGAAGAAGGTGAAGAGCTTTCGGTAGATAATCGCGACGAACTAGATATACCAAATGAAGAGGTAGAAATAGCACTTAAAGGAAAGGTAGGCGGAATGAACTGTAGTACTTTGAATTGAAGTAATTGTACAAACTGTGGGTGATTTACTGATATTTCTTAACGCTACATTATAAATTTCTATTGCTACTTGCTTAATATATAAACACCTGCATCTATGCAATATTTACCCGTACAGTCTAAGTTGATTAATCTCTAGACACAATCATATTAATGTTTGCTAGATTTACAAAGGAATGTGAAATTTAGAACATGACCGATAATATTTTGATTTATGAATGAAATATTACAGTTTCATTTAATTCCCTTGCGATTAAAACATAAAAGGACTTTCAAGTAAATAAGTCCTAAAGTTAACACGCTGAAATATTCCAAACGATCTGTAAAAACATTTTCGTAAAGCGATAAGATGAGATTCGTTTATTTCGATTTATTCATGAAGAGTGAATAAAAGAATTTACATGTGCCAAATAGCATAATTTTTCGTTACTAGAATTGCAGCCTAGTATAAAGCTTAATCTGTATGATATTAAATTAATGGAAAACTATACAATAGTTCAAGTAAGGCTCAAATACTAAAAAACTGTATCTGGGCATTATTCAAATTTACAAATTTTGATGGATCGCCTTTTGTGATCATGTACAATCTCTTCAGATTGGGAGTGATATATCTATTGTCATACAGTTCTATCATGCCGTTCTCAATTACTTTACTGTTAGTACAGTATTGATAGAAAGTCTTTCAATAAAGATCAACTCGTAGTCCTACTTCATATGTATAATTCTTATCATTTATGCAGTAACTATTTTCCGATAAGGTATTTGTATGCGACCATCGTTCTAAATATTGATTTATACGGTGAAACGGTATTGCTTTGCTGGAATGAATTAGACTGTAATTATTGATTTTATATTAGACTGTTTGCTGCACAGACAATTTTGAGTTTATAAATTATTTATGTCTACGCTGGCTATATAAATATTTACAAAGTTACTAAATAGACATCTATTGCGATTAAACCACGATTTTCTCATATAATATGAGATAATATGCCCTTAATAAAAATAGGTAATCCAACTTTAATGCAGTACGTGCACACCTTATTTTTGAGTTACTTCGTAGTAGTTGATAGCCTTTGCTAGTATGCCAGCTGTAATAATAGACTGACTATATATGAACACCTCAATCATTTGACCTTTAGAAATGGTGGGGTCGTCGCCGACGACGATTTAGCTACTATACTAAGAGTGATCAAGAACCTGAACAGCAAAAGGTACCGTTATCAGATAGAAACGTCTTTTACAGCATTAAACCTGAATAAATTTCATTATTCTGAATGCATGCACTGTTACTGTGGGTTTACCAAATCCATTTTTTTATTAACATCAAAATTCAAACTTTAGAAATGGTGGGGTCGTCGCCGTCGACGATTTAGTTACTATGTAAAGAATGGTCAAGGACCTGAACAGCAAAAGGTACTGATATCAGATAGAAACGTCTTTAACGGCATTAAAACTTATATATTTCATTATTCTAAACGCATGCATTGCTATTGAGCATTTACAAAATCGTTTTGTTTATTCCCATCAATAATTTTAACTTTAGAAATGGTGGGGTCGTCGCCGACGACGATTTAACTATTATGGTAAGAATGGCGAAAATCCTGAGCAGCAATAGGTACACGATTCTAACGTAATTTACACCATTAAACCTAAATAAGCTATTCATTATAATTTTGTACGGATGCAACATTTTGCTAGTGATAAATTATTTGCGTGAAATAATTTTTAACTTAATTAAAGAGTGCTGCAGACTCTCTGATTAAGTAAACATATATTCGATTCTTAGAATGCATAATTTTGTAGATCTAGTCATAGCTAGTTTATATATTCATATTTAATCGTATATCTTTTAAGATTTTTTGTAAGTTGAAAAAAAGCGACAGATAAAGGATACGGCTAAAAATTTATTAGATTTTATGCTGATAATCTGACAGTATTCTCTTTCTAGGGTAACGCTCTCAGTGCTGATAATGGACCTTTTCTATAAATCCTGTACTGTAATTCGGAGAATTGGCTACTTGCTTGATTTTTCCACTTTCTATATTATTTCCTATCTCTATAAGTGACTTCATTAACGCGTATACTGTAAGCATATCTTGGTACTGTTAACGTTAAATGAGAATTTAATGACTACGCTAGCAAGTAAAATCATAATACGAAGTCCATCACTTAAATTAATGCCTTTATTATACCTACTGTAAACGCATAATAGACTATCATTAGAGAAAGTTCTTATCGTATTAACTTTAAAGGTGCGCGTTTTAAATCATAATTTAAAAAATTTACTTGAGGATCTTTAGGAAACGTCAATAAAGTACTTGAAATAATTTAAAGGCGCTTATGCTTTATTGTATATTTGCTCAAATATACACCCGATATTGATATACTATTAACAATGAAGGAGCAAGTATAGCTAACGAGTTACTCCGACTATCGTCTTAGCTGAGATAATTGCTCCTTTAATTATAATTCACAGATCAATTTAGTAACCTGAGGTTAAATAATGCTTTTTTCACTGAATATAACGCTAAATGCAGTCAAGAACTTGCAATATCGTAGTGCACGTACCACGTAGATCCTAAATTATTTCCTGATGATTTAGGACTTGTAATCTTTATAACATTTCGCATTGACGTCTTAAAATCAGTTTTGTGCCATAGGCAATGATTGCAGTACGATTTATACTTATCTAGACTACAAAATTATGTTCTTTGCTTGAGATCTAAATATGATCTTACTAGACATATTATCATCTAGATCAACGTTAATTTCTGAGAGAGAAAAAAATTAGCTTTTAATTCATAACCATTTTGTAACTGATTTGCATATAAGTTGTGAATTTTGCTATAATAATTTTGATGATATGATTATAATTATAGCTAGATATTCCTTGTAGCAAAATGAACCTTACTTATACCATAAAGTAAAGTTAACGTATAAGAAACCTTAATTCTGTTTATTATTTCGAAAACATTTTATTACAAATATAATTTGTGCCATATCGCATTTCCTTAATTTAAATAATAAGTTAAGAGTGACTTTAGAAGTTCCTCATTTTATGTTTAATACGTCTAGTTTGTGACTAATTAAGACGTAGCTTATCTGGCTCTTACTCAAACTAAACAAAATAGAAGAAAGAAAAACATTCATTTACTTTAGATTTTTCATTGGGGCTAGTACTTAATGATGTTTACTAAACTGTAGCACGAATGAATGAAGCTCGCAATCCTATAAAACTATTGTTAAGGCGTAATCTTTCAGCTCATAAGATAATGTTGATGTGAATCAATGTATAAATCATTAACAATTAAATTTGTTTAGCAATCTCGGACGTCATTGAATTGATGAAAATAATAGGAAACACAGCATGTATTAAACTTTCATTCGAGTATAATAATGCTTCCTGCTTTAATTATAATTGCAAATGATAATGTCTTAGATTCTGTCGTCAAGCATATAAACTGTTCCCTGGAGTCATATTAATGACTTTGTTATAACAACAGAAGCTCATTGTTATTATTTTGGGTCATTGATGACTTTTTAATTTTGTTAGTATATTTTTTAATCAGACACTGTAGTTGATTATGCCTGATTTTTTATGAATTATCATGCATTTAAAAGTCAATATGAAAAACAACTTTTAACGATCGAGTATTATTATCTTATATCAGTAAGGGACCTAAACCGAACTATAGCATTTGAACAAACATATTACAGCATATAGGAGTTTATCCGACTGATTTATAAGAATAGCTGCCGATAACGTACGATTACTATAGTACTAATTTAATGGGACGCCTGAAGATAATAGAGTTTCCTGTCTGAAATTTATTGTCCCTTTAAGGGATGAACCTAGTTACCGTAATAAATAAGGAATACGGTAATTGCATGTCAGTATGAAAAGACATAATTAGAAAAAAGTTACCTGAAGATTACTTTTTGATTTTGAAATTTACTGCATATAAAACCATGCAAATATCAGACAGTCAAAAACAATTAGCTACGTTTCTAGTTATCATATTATAAAAATAGATTGCAAATTAGAGATAAAGGTGTGTAAAATCATAATTTTAGTAGCATAAAGCTTTAAGAATCTTTGAATTTATTCAAATTGCGGTTAGATGATAATAACAACAAAGGAACATTCGTGTTATTATCCCTTCATTGTCCCCTTAAGGATTCAAGTTTTGTAGCTATAGAAGACCAAAACACCTTATTCATTTGTTAATAATTATAATATCAAATTGTAATATCGGGATACTAAGGCTCGCTTATTTATTACTTTAATGTACTTGTAGTGCTAACCATGATTACTAATATTATATTGTTAATAAGCAAATCCTCACATTTACTGCATCTACTGTCGCGAAGTGATTGTATAGATTATTTATAAACATAGATCCTATATCAGCAGTGTTTGTTAGTGATTACAATAATACGTTTGTATAATGCAAAGTCTACAGTATGCGAACTACTAGTTGACTGATTCAACAAGTAGTTCAGTAATTGTTTTTGATATTTTTATTGTATTCATGGCTTACGTTTTAGTTTAATTGGGTACAGTCTAGGCTATTGCGCATGTAGTAAAACCACAGAATTTATGGTTTAGAGCTATCATCACGTTTCGTTTAATATCTGAAGTGTAATAAGGTTTAATATTGACGTAAAGATTGCTGCCAGAAATATTACTCTACTCGTTTTTTCAGTTAATTGAATTATCAGTGTGTTACGATGCGTAAGCTCGTCCTAATGAAGATTCCTTTTTAGTTCATTAGTCGGTTAGATAGTCAACTAGTTTTTCAATTGATATTTAATTGTAAAGACTATAATCTTGGGTGCCAAGATTCCTTCAGTAATAAATGATAGTAAATCTCTGACTATCTCGTCTACATCATCTATGACGCTATAATTATACCACAGTATTCGGTCGTTGGAACTGAATTATTTGGTGATATAGCTAATCTCGCCTCTTTAAGTTAGTAAGTTGCGTTCTCCGCAGGGATTGGCGTGTGTAGACTACTTTGTCACTAGTGGTGTGTGACACAGTGGTTCTTTGATATGTAATGTTGCGGTTATTTTCAAAGAATCATCTATTGCAACTTAATGGATTAAATTGTTAGAGGCCATAACTGACTTCAGAGAAGTTCATGCTACATGCGGATATTTGATTATACAAAATATGATTAGTAATGATCAAGGACTGCCCTATTTTATTTCGTGTCATCTGCCAAGTTTATTAATGTGCAACACCTTTATTCATCTAAGTTCTAATGAATACTAAATGTCAGGTTCCATTGAGTTACAAAGAGTCCATTAAGGTTCTATTATAATCAGAACATTGCCGGTATTTGGTTTTTCTCTCACATTAGACCTTAGAAGCGCAGGTATATAAAGTTTAACCCACTTGATTCGCTGTTCGTATTTTCCTGCAGTGATTAAAAAGGATAAGGTAAATTTTAATCAACAAGTGGCTATATTAGATAAATCAGTTATAATTTCCGTAATTTTTTATACCATATTTAACCCTGAAATTTAAGTGAAGTAAACGATAATGCTTTAATTCTTGCCAATGTAGGTAGTACTTAGATCATGAGTAAATAATAATATCAAGAAAACTATTTCTGTACTGATTTAGGTTTTCGATGATATCAAATTACTTTGATCGCT